CCCCCTCCTCCCCCTCCCCTCCCGCTACACCGACGTGCAACCCCCGCTTCTCCTCCGTCATCGCCTCGCGCACGCACGCACGCACGCTCTCCGAGAAAACAGAGAGATTGCGGAGGCTCACATGGCGGTATCGGTGGCCGACTGGACGGAGGGCAACCCTAACTCCGCCAAGAGGGAGGCGGAGCTGGCCCTTCGCGCGCTGCTGGAGGGGAAGCTGGGGTACGTGGACAAGCACGAGACCCTGCGGCGGGAAGGGCGGGCGCCGAGGGGAGGGGGGCGTGAGGGGGCGGAGGGCGTGCCGGTGCCCCTGGGCCTGTGCGTGGCGGCGGCGGGGATGCTGCTGACCGCGTGCCGCGGAGGGTGAGTGGAGNGCAGCGAACGTCACTCTCTGTGTATACCTATTTTTTCTTGTCCCTTCTTGCGCGCGTAATATGAGCAGCGGTTTAAGCCCACACATCTCTGTTTATGTAGCAGATGACTTTGTCCATCCCTTCTTTTCCTTTTTCATGACTGCAGCGTGTTTCGTAAGGGTTGTGACGGGGGGAGGGGGGAGGGGGGGGCTGTCTTGCTTTTCGTTTACATGCGGTAGGTTTACGCGGTGACACCGGGTGTATGTGGACAGCATGAGCGCGCTGTGCCGAAGATAAGCTGCGCCAAGCGTTCCCCACCCAACACAAGTGTCATCGCGGTGAAGTGAAAGCCCGTAACGCAAACTTGCCGGTTGCTTTTTTCACAAGGCTCGGCTTGTGGTGCTATCCAGCAGCACGCCCACCTCATGTCACCACACACGCCACCCGACCGTCGACCCTTCATTTTTTTTTATGCGCTCGCTCGCTCGCCCACCGGTATTTTTGTGTCACCTTTCTTTGATGCAATGCTGCTGCACGGGCAGGCAAGGAGGCAAAAGCCTCGGCAGCAACAGCAGCAGCAGCGGGGCGGCAGCGACAGCGGCAGCGGGCGAACGTCTGAGCGGAAAGGATGGGGAGGGGGCCCTGTTGTGGCTTTGGAGAGTCTTGCAGGTAAGGTTTGCCTTCGGGTCGTTGCTGCTGCTGCTGCTGCTGCTGCTGCTGCTGCTGCGGCTGCGGCTGATTTTCTTGACGATGATTAAAAGTATGATTGTGTTTTCGCTTCGGTTCATCAAATGAACGCAACAAAAACGAAAAACGAAAACGAAAAAACAGGTCCACTTCCCGGGGCGCTCCTCTACCCTGGCGACCCCCTCGGGGCCCCGCGAAGCGCCGCTGTGGGGGTCGCATCCCCTCGTCCCCGCGATCGCGTGCCTGCTGGCGGGGAAAACGTCGGCCGACCTATCGGAGGCCGAGGCCGGTAGTATGCTGCTGGCGTCGCTTAAGAAGCGCGGCTCCCGTCGGGAGCGAGGAGGGACGGTGGAGTGGTTGGGGAACCAGCTCAAGACCGGACCATTTCCTGGCAACCACGTGAGTTCGTTTTGGGTGGTGTAGTCATGTGAACGCATGCCGTAGTCGTTAGACCGTGCATCCCTGCAATGGCGGGACGGAGCGATGTGTCGAGTTTTCGCTGACCCAGGCTACGTTTCGCGAGGATGAACCAGAAGCTTCATCTTGCAGTCACTGTTTCGCTTTCGCTGCTTGGCGGGTACGGTGTACGGTATGCATTCGTTGCCTATTTTCACACCTTGCACCCTCGCCCCCCACCGTCCCCTAGCGTCTCCTCTCAAAACACGACCGTAATCCTACCCCCCCCCCCCCCCCCCCCGCGGCGCTTTGCCATCGGGGTTGGGTTTCGTCGCTTGGCAACGACGTTGTAAAACAAGCCGCCCCACTCGGTGTTTGCCATCGGGATTGGGTTTTCGTCGCTTGGCAACGACGTTGTAAAACAAGCCGCCCCCCTCAGTGTTTGCCANTCGAGGCAGTTACACAGTGCTCATAACTGTCTTTGGAAGTGAAAGCACCAGAAAATAAATTAAGTCATACGCAGCTGTCATCCGTACGCAAGGAAGCAAGCACAAGATGCCGAACACCGTTAGCAGGATGCAGCGCACCCTTGATGCGACTCGCCGAATACCTCACGGCGCTTCGCGCTTGGTGATATGAGAGCCTGGTCCG